CGGCCGGGCGCCCACGGGGCCCGCCGGCCCCTCCCGCTGGTGGGAAGCCTGCTGCAGCTGGCCGGGCACCCCCAGCTCCACCTGCGGCTCTGGCGCCTGCAGGGCCGCTACGGCAGCCTCTACGCCCTCTGGATGGGATCCCACTACGTGGTGGTGGTCAATAGCTACCAGCACGCCAGGGAGGTGCTGCTGAAGAAGGGGAAGGCTTTCGCCGGACGGCCCCGCACCGTGAGTTGGCAGCAGGTTTCGGGGGACCCCCTCCCACTGCGGCGTGGGGTGAGGCGGGGGATGCTCCCGAGAAAGGCACCGGCACCCGGCAGGGTCCGTCTTCTCTCCCCATCCTGCCTGCAGCAAGGCAATGCCAGGGGCAGCCCCTCTCTGCCCTGTTTCCTAGGGCAAATCCTGCGTATCCCCCATCCCAAGGGTGCCTGTTCTTCCCCAGGGCTGGCTGCATCTCGGGGTGTGGGGACGTGGGTTCAGGTACCACCAGGCTCCCTGTCCCCCTCTTAGTTTCCTGGGCACCCCTGCCCCCAACCCTGGCGTCTGTCCCCAGACCTCTCCATCGGTCCTTGGGGGGGGAAGCAGCTCATGGCTTAGGCTTTGCCTGACAGCTCTAACCACCAGCCCCTGGACCATCCCTGGGATGAGATGAGATGAACATCCACGGCCCCAGGATCACCCCTCTCCAACACGCAGCCCCCACAGGGCCACCCTGCAGCAGGGTGATCCTGGGGCTGCCTGTCCCACAGGTGACCACGGACCTGCTGTCCCGGGGAGGCAAGGACATCGCCTTTGCCAGCTATGGTCCCCTCTGGAAGTTCCAGCGCAAGCTGGTGCACGCTGCCCTCTCCATGTTTGGGGAAGGCTCGCTCGCCCTCGAGAGGATCAGTAAGTGCCCCCCGCCACCCCCCGGGCTCCCTCCCAGCTCTGTCTGCCTCCAGTGCCTGATCTGGACTGTATTTTTCCTTTATCTGTGCCCTGGGAACCAAGGGGAGACTCCTTGGCTCAGCCCAAACCTGCTGGCATCCCCCTAGTTTACCTAGTGGGGGCTCGGTCCCCATCCTTCCGTCCCCAGTACTTTATCGACACCTCTCCCCGTGCATTTTCTGCCCTGAACTTTGGCTCTGTGCTCCCAGCTGGGGAAACTGAGGCATGGAGCCAGCTCCCAGCCCCCCACTCCACCCAGGAGGAGCATCAAGCCACACATGGAGACTTCCCTGCTTGTCTCCATCCTCTCTGCTCCTCCCCAGCACCCAGCATCGTCCCTTCTGCCCATCCCAGCCCCTTGGGGCTCAGCCCTGGCTGGGGGGTGCTCTCTGCAAGCTGCACACCCTGAATGAGTGGGGAACACCTCCTTCCAGCCCCCAGCTGCCCCCTCCGACCCCTCGGCTTCACCATCACCCCCTTGCCTCCCTCTCCCCTCCACCCCAGTCTGCCGGGAGGCTGCGTCCCTGTGTGAGACGCTCAGCGCTGCACAGGATATGGCCCTGGACATGGCCCCTGAGCTCACACGGGCCGTCACCAATGTGGTCTGCTCCCTCTGCTTCAACTCCTCATACCGGCGCGGGGACCCCGAGTTCGAGGCCATGCTGGAGTACAGCCAGGGTATCGTGGACACTGTGGCCAAGGAGAGCTTGGTGGACATCTTCCCCTGGCTCCAGGTGAGCAGGGACATGGGGACTGCCTGTTCCTCTTACCTCAGATGAGATAAAGGAGCTGGGATGTGTCCTCTAGGAGGTAGCTACCTGAGCACCCCAGGGTTAAAAGGGTCCCTGCCCCAGTGTCCCCCAAGAGCCAGTATCCTGGTGGGTACAGAGCAAGCGCCTGGGGCCTGCAGAGGCTGGGCTGAGCTGGAGCTCTTTGCTGTAATGGGGCTTTTCTCCCCTAGATCTTCCCCAACAAGGACCTGGCCCTGCTGAAGAGATGCCTCAAGGTCCGGGACCAGCTGCTCCAGCAGAAGTTCACCGAACACAAGGTGCCAATGGGGTCAGGACAAGGAGATGCTCGGGAGCTGCAGGGCACTGGAGCTGGGGTGGAGGGGACTGTGCCCAGGACAGCCCGGCTCACATGTATCCCCTGGCAGGAAGCCTTCTGTGGGGACACCGTGAGGGACCTCATGGATGCCCTCCTGAAAGTGCGGCTCAGTGCTGAGAACAGCAGCCCACCGGCACCAGGGCTGGAGCTGACTGATGACCACCTCCTCATGACAGTGGGGGACATCTTTGGGGCCGGTGTGGAGACCACCACAACTGTGCTCAAATGGGCTGTGCTCTACCTGCTACACTACCCTGAGGTAGGGTCTGCACCCCATGGTGGGGGGTCCTGTTCTCCCCCCAACACCAGAGACATCGTGTGGGGCTTTGGGGAAGGCAAGTGCCAAGGGAGATAGCAGGCTTTGGGAATTAGCAGTACCACAGAATCACAGAATGGTCAGGGTTGGAAGGGACCTCTGGAGATCATCTAGTCCAACCCCCCCGCCAGAGCAGGGTCACCTACAACAGGTTGCACAGGACAGCGTCCAGGCGTGTTTTGAATGTCTCCAGAGCGGGAGACTCCACAACCTCTCTGGGCAGCCTCTTCCAGTGCTCCACTACCCTCAAAGTAAAGAAGTTCCTTCTGCCCTGTACAACCTGCCAGGATGTGCTGGTGATGCTGGGTGTACCGCGCTGCCACGGGGAGCCCCCACGCACAGGTCAGCCCCCTCCCCATGCTCACGCCCCAGCCCTTGCTCCCCTCCCAGGTCCAGAGGAAAATCCAGGAGGAGATGGACCAGAAAATTGGTCTGGCGCGTCACCCCCACCTCAGCGACCGCCCACTGCTGCCCTACCTGGAGGCCACCATCAGCGAAGTGCTGCGCATCCGGCCCGTGTCCCCTCTGCTCATCCCACACGTGTCCCTTGCCGATACCAGGTGAGACCCCACAGGGCCCAGCTGGGACACGAGCAGACACTGCGGGAGGGAGGGACCGTCTCACTCTGCATTCGCCTTGCAGCATCGGGGAATACTCCATCCCCAAGGGCGCCAGGGTCGTCATCAACCTCTGGTCCGTGCACCATGACGAGAAGGAGTGGGACAAGCCTGAGGAGTTCAACCCTGGTGGGTTGGGTGCTCCCTGTCCTCCCCGGGAGGGCGTAGGGGATGGCAGGGTGGGCGCAGTGGGAGAGGCTGAGCCCAGGGGAGAGTTAGTGGTGGGAGGTCGGATCCTGCTACCCCCCTGGCTGGGGCATTCTCTGCTCTTGCAGCTCATGGGAGGGACACAGGTGTGATGAACGCGGTCAGGTTCCAGGCAGAAGGGACCGATCCCTGCCGACACCAGTGGTGTCCCTTCCCCTTGCAGGCCGCTTCCTGGATGAGCGGGGCCAGCACATCCACTCGCCCTCGCCCAGCTACCTGCCCTTTGGGGCCGGGATCCGCGTCTGCCTGGGCGAAGTCCTGGCCAAGATGGAGCTCTTCCTCTTCCTGGCCTGGGTGCTGCAAAGGTTCACACTCGAGTGCCCCCAGGACCAGCCCCTGCCCTCACTGGAGGGCAAATTTGGTGTCGTGCTGCAGGTGCAGAAGTTTCGAGTGAAGGCCAGGCTGCGGGATGCTTGGCGAGTGGCCTCGTAATGGGGACAAGCCTTGGATCCCGAGCACTGGTGGGGTGGGATGGGACGGGACCATAAAGGCCATACCCTGCCTGCCCCGTGGATGCACGGTTGTCCAGATAAAGCTGTTCCCAACACAGCATGGCTCAGGCTATTTTTTAGGCAGGTGATGGAGGGCAGGGGGGAGGTAGGGAGGTGCCTGGGACGTATGGTGGCCCCACAGCTTCGTGTGAGCACTGGGCTGAGCTGGGAGGCCATGGCCCCTCTGTGAGGCTGCTGACACAAACAGTCCCTTCGCCTCCCCCAGGGATGTGGGGTGGGGGGCCCGTTCAGGGACAGCCATGAGCCGTGGAGACCAGCCACCTGCGTAGCTGGTGGGGGGAGAAGGGCCCACCCCAGCCAGGTAAGGGGGGAAACGTGACCA